CCCCAAAACCCCAAAACCCCAAAACCCCAAAACCCCAGCTTCCTTCTACCAGATTGAATTTGTGATAGTTGGATTTACATTGAGCTGGCCATTATGTCATCCCAGAACTTCTCGTTCCTGTTCTTTCTCTTATTTCTCCACCTTCCTTTCTTGCCCTGCTTGTCACGGTACTGAGATCTTGGCCTTAGCTTTTCCCCTGTCTCTTGATCAATCACAGGATTCATCTTTGGTGTCTAAATTGTAAGACTTATGATCCATACAGTCAGATCCATATTAGCAAGGATGCTTTCAGACTCAACTCTGAGATCAGCCATTGACTTGGGACTGTCACTAAACATTTTCTGGTCCCAATCCTCCCCAAGAACCTGGAATTGCTTATGGTAGACCTTCCTCTGCTGCCTCAACTGCTTTCTCTCCTGATGAGTGAGATTGGGGTCGTTTACTGTATATAATAACTTGGGACCTTACCGTCACCATGGATGAACAGGTTAGACTCCTTTTCTCCAGAACTCCTCATTTTCTGCAAAGTTTCATGCTTTTTCTTCATATTTTCTCTCATGCTTTTCTTGAATTCTTTCTGGATATCTCTAAAAAGTTTGATGAGATCTGGAGAATTCAGGGATTTATCGTGGAAACAACATTTCGAATATCTCAAATTTAATAAACTGGATTTAGCGACCAAGTTAAGCCAAGCTTGAGACAGGGAGGATTTTTATGAAATTTTTTACTTAATGAGACTGTATAAACCATCCTTTCAGTTCTAACTGATGAGAATCCTGAGAAAATAAATTAAGAGTTTGGTGAAACCAGATATTACGATATCAGCAACATTTTGTAGAGTTAGAATGCACATTTAGTTCACATAATTATGCAAATTATTTGAGTATACTTACTTGTCTTCATGAAGTTTCCTGAGAGTTTCTGCCTCACTCTCGTTATTAATATTTATGGTAATGTACTCTTCCACTTCAAGCTTGGAGAGATTAATGAAGCTTTCTAATTCTCTGAAGTACTTAACATAATTATTCTCATCATATTTCATTGATGAAATTGGCTCATATCCCTCTTCCTGTATTTGTGTTTTCATTTCATCTGAATTATCATGGTAAAACCTCAGTTCAGGAGCATATCTCAAGCCAAGCTCTTGGCATATCTTTGCTCTAAAATACCCACTAGCTTTAGTCAGCTTCTCTTGAATTTTGGCGATTTTGTCTTCCTTCAGCTGGCCTGTGAACAACTTTGTATTTTGTATTCCATATGTTTCTAAACTCTTATAGAAGCAATCTTACTTGGCTGGAGTGGGGTGTCAATAATGTTGACTTTCCACCATACGTGGAGTAGAGATCAAGCCTTATTCAGCCTAACCTCAGATAAAGTAAGGATGTATCCCTCTTTTATACCAAATTGAACGCTTTGTTTATTAGAATTGACAATGTAATCTTCCAAGACACTGATCATGTTCTTCTTAGTCCTCTTATGGTGCATCATGAAGTCGATATCATCATTGTAAAACTCAAGTTCCTTGTAGCTTTCAAAGTGGCTTGGGATTTCCTTTTTCTCTTCTCCTTGCCGCTCATAATAATCCTCGATCATATCTAAGTAGGTTAGGATCTCACGTACCTAATTGCTTCATTTGAGGTATTTTAAGCTTTTTGACTAACTTTTTAATCTTCTTTTTCGCATTTATCTTCGCTTGAATCTTCTGCTGCCTATCTAGCTCTTTTTCTTCCCTCCTGATTCTATAGAACCATTGTTTCCTCTCTGCAGGAGTCAGGTTGAATTCCTTCGTCATGTAGTCTAGCTGAGAGTATACCTTTCCGAGAATTGGGTCATCAATATCCGAATTTGACGTGACATCGATACTGATCACTTTCTTGTGCTCTCTTCCTACAATCCTTTTGGAAGGATCATCAACTAAAGTATTTAACTGAAAGACTTACAGTCTTTTTCAGGATCTATAATGTTTTCCCTCTCAAGTAGCTCCTTGAACTCAGTGTCGTCTTTCTTAGTGATTTCCATATCTATCAAGTTCTGTTGTAACTGATTGGATTTCTCAAGATCCTTCTGATGCTTTGAGAGCCGGACCTCCATATCACTTTCCTCATCAGAGTAATCCCTTTTGAATGATTTTGGGCTCCGTTTATGGTCTTCCTTTCTTTTCATCTGCTGCAATCTTGATTTAATAGCTCCATGTATTTCAATATCAAAGTCGTTAGGATCATCATGTTCTGTGAACTTTTTAATATCAGCATCGTCAAAAAACTCTAGATTTTTCTTTTTGTCCGCATCTTCAGGTAGATCGAAAATACTAGGTGTATGTACAGACGCTTTATACTCTTCAGGCTTGATATCAGCCATGTTTGGGTTGACCATTGAGAAGTCTGTGCCTGGTTCAAGACTTCTCTTGGTCCAGCCTGTTTTCTCTAGCTTCTCAAAGTACTCATCATCTTCACCCATCAGCTCAGCAATCTTCTTATGGTCTTTGAGAGGGTCTATTCCTTGAGAGAGTCTATAGTTTTAGAAACTGTGTTACAAAGCTTCTGATTCAAGTTCTTCTGACTTATCAATCATGCTGGTCATGCTGGCAAAACTTCGCATTGATTTCTCTTGTATACGCTCTATAGAGGGTTATGAGAAGAAAATTACTAGAATTTTGCTCCATTTCTCTCCTGAAATCAGCCATTGATTCGTCATCTTCTTCAGCTTCTTCAATCTCTTCGTTAAACATCGCCTCAATGAACCTATCTCCAGAGGTAAGGTTCTTCATTTCTAAAGCAGATGTTAGAGAACTTTGGCTGGAAAGGTAACAAAGATATTGTAAACTTACTGTGTCTTCTGAAGGATCTTTCAGCTTCAGCAGTGAATTTGGCATCCTCTCTGTTTCTAACAAATCTCTTCTTCATCAATTCCTCTTCTGAATGTCTCACTTGGAGTGGGTCCTTCTTTCTCAACATTTGTTCATAGTAAATAGGCCTTCTCTTTTTGGATAAAGCAATAGTGGGACGATACATCCTCATTGGGTTGGCTGCCAGTGTAAATTTCTTAGCAACTCCAAAAGCACGAAACATATTATTTTATATTATTTTTCACATTCATTCAATCATTTCTTGATTTTGTGGGGTTTTGGGGTTTTGGGGTTTTGGGGTTTTGGGG